GTAGAATGCCAGTTAGAGGCTAGACACAGAGCAGGGAGATAGGGTATCATTGGATTGGAATCCATTTTAAGAATTTCTATAAATACAGTATTTATCCTCATGGCATGTTTTATTGGTTTAGAGTCATGCTTTCTTTTTGAATGACAACATAATCCAATACAGAAATATCTAACCATCATGCAAAGAAGGTATGAACATACATTCCATTCATGACACATGGTATGAATGCAAAATACAGTTTACCAGGGGGAACCTTACAAACACAAAAGTAGCAGAGCTCATGCAATCCTGCAAGTTATCTTTCCCAAGAAAAGCATGCTTAGGCTGGTACTAGACAGATATATTCACAAAAGTACCTATTCCACAATGCTCGACACACATATAGAGAAAGGTGATCATGTACCAATGGAAGCTTGCAGATCAAGCTGGTCGTAAGGGAAGCTATTCCTCAACTCTAAAAGAAAGATAATTGCACTTACCAGCTGGGCACGGTGGCTCATGCCTGTAATCCCAGCACTCTGGGAGGCTGAGGTAGGTGGACCATCTGAGGTCAGGAGTTTGAGACCAGCCTGGACAACATGATGAAACCCTAACTGTACTAAAAATACAAAAATTATCCAGGCATGGTGGTAGGCGCCTGTAGTCCCAGCTACTCAGGAGCCTGAGGCAGGAGAATGCCTTGAACCCAGGAGGTGGAGGCTGCAGTGAGCCAAGATTGTGCCACCGAAGTCAAGGCTGGGTGACAGAGTGAACCTCTGTCTTAAAATAATAATAATAATTGTACTTATCTCATAAAGCTACTAGAGAGATTAAGATAATTGATACTTATAAAAGATGTAGAACACTACCTAGCACATAGAAAGCAATTTTCCAATTAAAAAATATGTATCCAGTACAAACTATGAATCAAGTGCTGTTTTAAGGGCTAAAAAAATGCAATGGTGAACATGGAGCTTCCATCTAGTGGGAGTGAAGATAATAAACAGCACAGTGTATAACATGATGTTCTAAAGAAAATAAAGTGATGAGAATGCTTTCTGTACATAGGGTGGTAAGGAAAGGCCTCTATGAGGAGACGACACTTGGCAAAGACCAGAATGGAGTAAGGATACAAACCTGTGCCTATCTAGGGGGAAAAGTATTCTAGGCAAAGGAAACAGCATGGGCCAAGGTCTTGAGGCAGGAGCATGCACAGGTTATTACTGGAATAAGAAGAAGGCCAGGTTGGGTGCAGTGTCTCACACCTGTAATCCCAGCACTTTGGGAGGCTGAGGCAAGTGGATTGCTTGAGGACAGGAGTTCAAGACAAGCCTGGCCAACATAGCAAAATCCCATCTCTACTAAAAAAAAAAAAAAAAATACAAAAATTATGTTGGGCATGGTGGTGCACACCTGTAGTCTTAACTGCTTGTGAAGCTGAGGCGGGAGAATGCTTGAACCCTGGAGGCAGTTGCAGTGAGCCGAGATCGCGCCACTGCATTCCACCCTGGGTGACAGAGTGAGACTCTGTCTCAAAAAAAAAAAGAAAGAAAAAAAGAAAGAAGGCCATTATGGCTCAAGAGCTGTGAGAAAGCAAAACATTGTGGGAAATGAAATCAGAGAAGTAGGCAGGGGCCAGATCTTGCAGGGACTTGTAGACCATGATAAGGACTATGGATTTTGTTTAAGAGTAGTGGTAAGACATGGGAGAGGGTTAAATGGTGAAGTGATATTATCTGATTCATGTTGTAGAGAGACTGTAAGAGAAAGAAAGCAGAAGGAGTTGTTAGGTAGCAATACTCCAGATGTGAGATGATGGTGCCTTAGGCTGGGTGGTGTCAGTATTTGTCCTGAGCGACAGCTGGCAAGCATGGTGATGTTATTTATCGAGATGAGGATCATCCAGGAAGGAATCGTTGGGTTGGGGGTATTCAAAAGTTTGGCCTGGGACATGTTAATTCTGAAACAGAAATTAGACATCCAAACCCAGTAGGCAGCAGTAATGAGATTTACAGCAGTGGACCATTCATAAAAATAATGCCTGCAGCAAGCATTTGCCAAGACGGGTTTGAGAGCTGTATGGGGAGAATTGCAGGACACTGGCAAGGACTTACGGGTCAATGGCAAGTACTATGGATGTCAAGGCATTGGTTCCCTTCAGAAGGACTGAAGGAGAAAGGAAGGCGCATGGCTCAGAGGCCCTTCTGGGATGGTGTGAACTGCAGTAGTGGTGAGGTAACATCAGCTGCATTTGGGCAGCTGGGGGAAATGGGTTTCTCAGCTGGCTCCAAGTAGCTCCAGTGTCTCATTTGGGATTTTGCTCTGTTTATAGCTCCTGAGGTTGAGGGTGGGGGGATGAGGCAAAGATTAATCACTTACTATTTCTAAGCCTCCTGCTTTTATCTCTTAAGGAAGACAGACTATTCTTAGTAATAAGAGCTAATCATTACTGAATATTTTTCTATATATTCCATATTGTACTAATGACTTCATAAGCACTGCATCATTTTATCTTTACAATATGCTGGGAGACAGAAGTCAGCTTGTAGATGAAGGAACAGATTTAGAGAGGACAAATAACTTTCCCTGGGTCACATGGTTTGCATTTATTTATTTATTTATATTTTTAGATGGAGTCTCGCTCTGTCACCCAGGCTGGACTGTAGTGGCACTATCTCAGCTCACTGCAACCTCTGTCTCCCAGGTCCAAGCGATTCTCCTGCCTCAGCCTCCTGAGTAGCTGGAACTACAGGTGTGCCACAATGCCTGGCTCACTTTTGTATTTTTAGTGGAGACAGGATTTCGCCATTTTGGCCAGGCTTGTCTCAAACTCCTGATTTCAGGTGATCTGCTGCCTCAGCCTCCCAAAGTGCTGGGATTACAGGCTTGAGCCACCATGTCCAGCCACATAGCTTTTAAGTGGTTAAGAGACAGGAACTAGAATTGAAATCTAGATAGTCTGTCTGCTACAATGTTCTGCTTCCAGCTCTCATGTCCTATTCCTCTACAATAAAAATCACACCTCATATATATAGTAACATACTTTAGAGCACTCTGCAGAAGCTCTGGCATGCTTAATTTAGGTGCCTTAAGGCAACAGTGGCTGGCCAACATCAAATGACTTGGTAAACTAAATGGTGGCTCCCAGCTTTACCATGGATATTCAGATGTCCATGTCCTAAACTCTGTAACCTGTCATTATTACATCTATGGCAAAAAGGATTTTGCAAATGTGGTTAAGTTGGGGATCTGGAGATGGGGAAATTGTCCTGGGTTAGCCAAGTGGGCCCAATGTAATCACTAGGGTTCTTCTAAGAGGGAAGATGATGTGAAGATGGAAGTAGAAAGAGATAGAAATTTGAAGATGATGCTACAAAAAATGATGCTTTTGAAGATGGAGGAAAGGACCATGAGCCAAAAAGTGCAAGGAAAACAGCTCTAGAAGCTGGAAAAGGCAAGGAAACATATTCCCCTAGAGTCATAAGGAAGCACTCTGCCAACACGTTGACTTCACCCAGTGAAACCAATTTTAGACTCCTGGCTTTTGGAATTACAAAAGAATAAATTTCTGTGACTTCAAGTTGCCAAGTTTGTGATAATTTCTTACAGCATCAATAAGAAACTTTTAATAATATGAATGGAGTGGGGTGTTAGGCATGGAAGCTACTGGATGAGGATGTCGGGGAGAGCTAGAACTAGTGCAGTGGTGAAAGCTCCTGGACATATTCAAGGATAGGATGGTCTGAGAAAAGGCTAAGAAGTAGCCTCAAGCTGTGGAGCTGAGGATGGCTGCAATTTCTAACACATCCCACAGAAGGCTGGGCTTCTGGAAAGGTCAGGACCACTATTTAAAGGATTGTTCAGTTGAAGGAAACTCTGCTGGTCTTACCAGCTTTCTTCAAGGTGCAGGACTGACACATATCCACTTGGTGAGATGGGGACCCAGGTGCTTTGGTGGTCAAGGAGTGGCACCTTGGCTCAGCACACAGCACAGTGTTTTACACATAATGGGGCCCCCTTAAGGTTTGTCCCTTGTTTTCTCCTGGACAGTGTGACTCAGAAGTAGGAAACACATACACATATTCACCCCTATACATACACATCTCAGAAATGAGACATTTTCTCATTCTAGATTTCTAAATAAGTCCTAAAAATAAAGCCCTGAAAAAAATTTCTGCCCAAACTTATAGGATTAAAGAGAATAATCAGATGTAGGAAGCGCCTTTTCTCTAAGGAAATTTGTGCCATTTATCACAGATACTGAGCACTCCACCCAAAGCAGTGAGAAATGTCAACATCAGCAAGAAGTAGTTACCACTGTACCTGATTTATCATGGCCTCTGGGGTAAAACTGCAAACATATGCTATGCTAATTAGTTTTAATCAGCCATTGTGTAAGAAATTGAAATATCAATACTCTATCATTTTTAAATAGGACAGTCTGAATTCCTAATGTTGGCCCCTGGAAAGACTACTTGCCAACACACTGGAGTATTTCTTGGTTTGCTCCCAAGGAAGGCATTATTCACAGAAAGACATTCTAGCATTTCAGAGCTCTGAAGCCCTTAGTTTAAAATACTCTTGGTTTTTGAGTCAGAACTTAATGGTTTTGGGCCTACAGTGAGCAAGATTTATGAATCAGACTCCAGATACAATGCCACTTCTATTATTAACTTTTTTTTTCTGATTATAAATACAGTGCAAGAGCCCGTGGCCTGCAGTGCCACAAGGTCTACCTCAAATGCCAAGGTTCTCATAGTGGCAGTCACACAAGAATTTCCTTTACAGTGTCCAGTTCATACTTCTACTCCAGCTGTGGTTGGTTGACAGAGGCAGTGATGTGAGGCTGCTGCTACAGTAGCAAGGAGTTTCCAGCCCCAACCAAGATTAAAGGTGCAGGCAGGCAACCCCAGCATCAACTGGTATAACTCATTTCATCAAGCTATGAAAAGGAAGTCCATCTGGGAGAGCGGTAGACTAGCAAAATGTATTTATCCCTCACCTGATGAACTCCTACTTACGTTTCAAGGCTCAATTCAGATGTCTTATGGAGACACCATGAGATTGCATGACAAAGCTTAGCAGAGTTAAGGGAAGGGCTTCTTCTACACCTTGACTTAGAACAGAGATTGTTCTGGAACAACACAGACAGGAACACAGTAGCACCTGACGGGATAAAAAAAATTACAGTGTATGTCATGGCAGAAAATATAGGAATGCAAGCTTTGTGCAGTGGCAGTATCATAGCCAATGAGGTCTATCTGAGGCGTGATTATTGCTAATTGAAAACTTTTCCCAATACCCTGCTGTGACAACTTGCAATATAGTCAGCATTGGCAATTTTTGGCAGTCTTCATGGAGACTGAATTAAAAAAAAGAAAATGTAGGAATGCAGGAACATGTACAATACAAAAATCCAAATCGCCCATAATAGAACCACATGGATATAGAACTATTAGCAACTTACTGTATTTTAAAAGGTATTTTATTTCCAGACAATTTTAAATCATTAATAAATTATGGTAAATCCATATAATACAGCCAGTAAAATAGATTTTTCAAAAATATTTAATGACATAGGAGACTGTGATATAATAAAAATTCATGTCGTATTTTTTCCGTATGATTTGAATTTTGTAAAAGAAAACATATACACATCTACATACATACATTTAAAACTCCCGAGGATTGATTAATAAACAAATGAATTATAAATGAAAAATAATTGCAAATTCCTTGTCACTCTCTAAGTCATCCAAGCCCATTTCTGAGTTGGAGTCTATTTCTTTTCCTTCTTGAATCTGGTTAGGCCTGAGGCTGATTTGACTGACAGAAAACAGAATAAATGATTCTGTGATAATTCTGGGCCTAGCTTTTAAGAGGACTGGAAATTTCTAATTCTTCCCTCTTGGAACTCAGCTGCTAAGCTATGAAGAGACCCAGGCAGCTATGGAGGAGCCATGTCGAGGATGATCATCCCCTTTGGCAAACAGCTGTAGTCGGCACTGGCCAGTATTCCTGCCAGCTTGCCAGGCATATGAATGAACCATCTTCAAAGTGGATCCTCCCTCCTCCAGGGAGGAATATACAAATGGTGTATTTCTGTTGGCTAAAATCAGAGGTCTTTATGACTTTTCCTCCTTTGTTCATCATATTGCTTTCTTTCACTTAGCTTCTTCATACTTCAATATTCCCTTCTTCAATTTTTGATAATTTGCCTGGGCGATTAGATGATTTCTCATTAGAAAATGCTGTGGGAAAATATACATATGTACACATATTTTATGTACGTAGTTTCCCAGTTTTCAGCGGCACAATAACTATTTTTAACTAGGAAGACATAGTTTTTTCAAAGACTTGTCCAAAAACATACCAGGTTGCCGTTTGGTGCAATAAGCAGGTATTTATTAGGGAGAAGTATAAAGGCATGTGAGAGGCCATGTGCCTCTTACTACTCTATCTGGTTCAGGTCAGGTGGAGGTTGACTGTGTTTTCTAACTCAATGAATGGACTTTTTAATAAAAGATAATCTAGCCAGGTACAGTGGCTCACACCTGTAATCCCAGCACTTGAGAGACCAAGCCAGAAGTTTGAGACCAGCCTGGGTCACATAGCAAAACTTCGTCTTTACAAAAAATGTTTAAAAATAGCTGGGCATGGTGGTGTGTGCCTATAGTCCCAGTTATTTGGGAGGCTGAGGCAGGAAAATTGCTTGAGGCCAGGAGTTCAAGCTGTAGTGAGCTATGAGAGAGCCACTGTAGTTCAGCCTATGCAACAGAGCAAGACCCTGACTCTTAAAAAAAAAAAAAAAGATTATCTGCCTAATGTATTCAGCCATACCAAAGCAAGGGATGCCAACCATGTTATTTCTGTTTTTTAGAATCATTCCAAGATATAGAGCTCTAAGAGAGGATATTCCATACTGTAAGGCCTTAGTAGCATAAAACATTCCCCTGGTCCAAAATTGCTTTTAAAATTCTGCCCCCCTCGCCCAAAAAAAATACTGGACAATAATACATTCAATATCACATGAGGTATAAATATGAATAATTCATTTTAATTATTTGCACATATTTAGCACATCATTACACAATGTTCACGTGCCTGCTATTTTAGCAACAATAAGACTTTGAACTAAGTATGCTTTTGCCTTAAATCCAAGATAGCTAAATTTGGACATATATCTGTAGGACTACTCACTCCTAAGAGGAAGGAGATTCTTCAGAACCAGCTCTATTCATGTGTTTGTAGTAAGCCATCTCGGAGTTGTTTTTATTCACAACACTTGTGACACCGAACATGGGGTTTTCACTCACATCACTCCATTCTCTAACTCTTTGAACACAAACTAGATGTTCTACAATTCAATTCAATTCTGACACTGTCTACCTAGAGTGAGTGCAGACCCCACAGGTTAAGGACTTGGTCCCAAAAGACTGCTCCCACTTCAGATACCAATTGCCAGTTTGGGCCACCCATACTCCTGAGCAACTGGTTATAAAGTAGGGGGATTCCTACAACCCTCTCCTCAGGTTCACAGAACTCAAGACAGTCATCTACTTACTATTTCCAGTTTCTTACAACAGATAGAATTTAGGAGCAGCCAAATGGAAGAGATGCATAGGGCAATGTATGGTAGGGGGGATGGGGGAGGAGTTTCTAAGCCCTCTTTTGGTCCCCACCTTCCTCCCAGCACTTCGAAGTGTTGACCAACCCAGAAGCTCTCCAAGCCTGATTGTTTAGGGTTTTTTTTTTTTTTTTAAATATATAGAGGCTTCATTACATGGGCATGATTGATTAAATCATTGGTGATTAGTGACTGAACTCCATCTGTAGCCCCTTTCCCCTCACTGGAGGTTGGGGGTAGTGGGGAGGCTGAAAATTCCAGTCTTCTTATCACATGATTGGCTCCTCTGGCAACCAGCCCCTATCTTGAAGCCATCTAGGGGCCCACCAGGAACCAGTGTATTAGCATAAATTTAGATATGGTTGAAAGGGACTTGTAATGAATAACGAAAAATGCTTTAATCACCCCTATTGCTCAGGAAATTCTGGGAATTTTGGAAGCTATGCCAAGGACTGGGAACTGGCGGAGCATGGCGGCTCACACCTGTAATCCTAGCACTTTGGGAGTCCCCCTGTCTTGAACCAGGAGCTCAAGACCAGCCTGGGTAAGATGGCAAAATCCCATTTCTACAAAAAAATAGAAAAATTAGCCAGACATAGTGTTCCATGGCTGTGGTCCCCATTACTCAGGAGGCTGAGTTGGGAGGATCACCTGAGCCTGGGGAAGTTGAAGCTGTGAGCCGTAATGGCACCAACCGCATTCTGCATTCCAGCCTGGAGGACACCTGTCTCCAAAAAAAAAAAAAGAACTGGGAATGATATTTCTTTTTACCACACCATCTTTCTGAGTTTTCCTTCTATAGCTCATTAACATAAACAAACACTCCCCACCCTCATAACTGTTTCTTCCTTCTAGGAGAGATCCAAAACTTATTTCTTTGGTGTAGATCTCCACTTTAAGTTGGGGATTCACATGATTGTGCCCTTGGCAATATTAACTGATTCGTTCATTCAGAGTCAGTAAATTCTTTTTGAAGCATTGTCTTAGGTACCGTTCTGAATTCTTCAGGTTTGGGTGTGAACCAAAGAGATAAAGTCTGTTCTCATCAAGCTTAAATTTAGTGGGGGCAATTCAGTCAATGAAAAAATGAGTAAACAAAACAATTTCAGGTACTGCTATGAAGAAAATATAACCCAGTGATGTGCTAGAGATTGTCTGGGAGACTACTTTAGATTCCGTGCCAAGGGAAGGCTCTCTAAGCAGGGGGTCTCCAAAGCTAAGCCACCCTTCCCATCACAGCCTGGTCTAACAAGGAGGGGCTGAGAAAAACAAGCAGTACTTCTCTGTGTAATATGCAAAAAATTTTTTTCAATGCTTGTGGGAATGGGAAATAATTGTAGGGAGATTCTTTTGCTGTGAGCTGATTTTTTTCTTAGAAAGAATCACTATAGTTCAAGATTCCAGAAAATTTTGATCTTATACAAACCCATCGCCAGCTGTTCTTAAATTCTGAATTTTCTTTCAGACATTTTTTCTGTTGTGTAATGCTTCTATCTTCTTTCCTTTTTTACCTTTTCCTTTGATATCCCATTAGAAATACAAAGTCATTTACTATTGAGTCTGGTCAACCACATGCATTTTGAAATATTTACTTCCAAATGAAAGATGAATAATTTACATCTAAAAAGAGCTTTTAGCACTGAGTGTCTTGGTCATCACATATCACAGTTATGTGATATGCCATATATGTGATATGTCATATATCACATAACTGATATGACTTGGTTCACTTTTTTTTTTTTTTTGACAGTCCTTGCTCTGTCTCCCAGGCTGGAGTGTGGTGGTGAGATCTCAGCTCACTGCAACTTTTACCTCCCAAGTTCAAGCGATTCTCCTGCCTCGGCCTCCTGAGTAGCTGGGATAACAATTGCGTGCCACCATATCCGGCTAACTTTTTTTGTATTTTTAGTAGAGACAGGGTTTCACCATGTTGGCTAGGCTGGTTTTGAACTCCTGATCTCAAGTGCTCTGCCCACATTGGCCTCCCAAAGTATTGGGTTATGGTTGTGAGCCACTGCACCCAGACATCTTTTGCATTAATGGGTGCCATGGTATTCTGAAGATAGGACAGAGTGGTGAAAGACCATGGGCTTTGGGGTCAGGTCTAGCTTTGGGTCCCTACTCTTCCACTTGCTGTCTGAGTGACTGTGGTCAAATTACTTAATCTTTTCTGGCTGGAAATCATAGCTACATTTTAGGGCTATAGCACCAAAGATATTCAATGAAAATTGTCTGACAAACACTAGGCACTTAATTCACAAAGTTATTACTATTATTCTAGTCATGCTTGGTAATCTATATAAGCTCTTGGATTCTATATATGGTTGCATCTGACATTTCCACTTTTGCCTTTCAAAATCTGCTGTGAATGTACTTGTAAATATAAACCTTGTGTCTTCCAAATGGAAAGGGGAAAAACTCAATTAAGATTACATTGCATAAAAGTAAGTGTGCTGGAATTAGAGCTATGTGATATTAAACAGATTAATTTCCATGGGCTGTTGATGCAGTTATAAGCCTAAAATAATTTGGCAGAGCT